GCACTGAGATTGATGTTGGTCTCCACAAAGAAGATCATCGTGCCCCAGTGGTCACCTTTAAGCGACAAGTAGTTGCTCAAGGCTTAGTGGCACGGCCCAAACCTTTCAAGATGAATTTGCCACCTTTGAGACCTGAGCATTTGCCTGAACTGCCGACCTATGCATGGCATCTTGATGTCCATACTCATGCTCACCAAATCCAGCAAGATCTCATCAACAGCCTGTGGGATGTGCAGGTTAAACCAGGTGGTGTGCCACGCAAGACCACTATGTCTACGGAGACGTGGGATATAGTCTGCCAGAAGCGGCACGCACGCAATGCTCTTGCATCGCACCAGAAAGCCCAGCGACAGACGGTATTAGCCGCCTGGTTTGCATGTTGGCTCCACTCCCTGGTGGATGGATTCCCCAGTAACCTTCTGGTTACCTTTGATGAATTGCTGTGTCAACAAGACTCTCTCATTGCTGTTGCATATCATCGATTTCGTGCGCTCGGCAGGTTAGTTGTCAAGAGACTGAGACAGGATGATGTCACCTTTTTCGATAACTTGCTCCAGGATTGCACTGAATATCTGGGTCCCGCTCAGGTCAAGCAATTATGGAAGACTGTTCGGCGCTCCTTACCGAGGTTCCAGCAAAGACGCATGACCACGCCACCGTTTCAGTTGGAAGGCCTTGAAGACCAATGGGTTAACCACTTCAGCCAGCTTGAAGCAGGTACGCCCACAAGTATGCCCCAGCTTTTGCGGACGTGTGTCACCAGACAGATGTGTGCTCTGTTTGATGCCCCTAGTCAAATTGAATGTCAGGAGTTACCCTCGCTTTTTGCTCTGGAAGATGCATTTCGGAAGACGGCTCCAGATCGTGCCACTGGGGATGACCCGCTCCCATCGGAGCTATTCCACTTGGCTGCTTGCCCGCTTGCGGCTGGGTATCATGATTTGTTGCTGAAAGAATTTGTATGGCAGATGGAACCGCTCTCATATAAGGGTGGACCCGTTGCTATCATTCCGAAATGCTTGGCTCCAACCACTGCCCAGCAATTTCGAGGCATCCTGCTACTAGGAAATATGGCCAAACGCACACACTCAGTCCTGCGACAGAGGATTATGAGTCATTTGGAGCATGCCAAGGCACCTGGTCAGTTAGGTGGATTCCCTGGGCAGCAGGTTATGTTCGGCTCACAGGCGTTACGCATCTTTGGTACCATTGCTGATGCGAGGCGAGTGAGCAGTGCAGTCCTTTTCCTTGACCTTTCCAATGCGTTCCATCATCTTGTGAGGGAACTTGTAACAGGGGTTTCTTCGTCCCAAAATCTGGATGCGGTCCTTGACGTCTTGAAAAGCACAGGTCACCCGAATGCTAAGCTGAATGCAGCTTGTCAGCTTCCAGGACTTTTAGCTGACTTAGGAGCCCCATCTACATTGGTGAGATTGGTTTGTGACATTCATGCTGAGACATGGTGTTCCCTTCCTTGTCAGCAATTTCTCCACACAAGACGAGGGACTCGACCAGGAAGTCCATTAGCAGACATTGTATTCCACATTTTGATGACGTCTGTGGCCAAAGATATTGATGAATGGATTGTGCTGCATTCCGTGCATTCACCGGTTTTTCCCGGTGAAGTGGACACTTTCCCAAGCATTCTTTGGGCAGATGACATTGCTGTGCCTGTTGCCACATCTCAGCCTGAACACCTAGTACCTTTGTTACTCAAACTTCTCTGTGCAGTACGAGATTGTTTGCATGATCGAGGATTCACATTGAATTTTGCTTTAGGGAAAACCAATGCAGTTGTTTCCTTTCGAGGGTCGGGTGCTAGTGAATTACGCAAAGAATTTCAATTGGTTTCAAAGCCGGGTGCCACTTGTGTTTTCTCAGATGGAACGGAAGCATGGTTGCATTTTGTTCCGGTCTACAAGCATTTGGGCACTATTTTCGCTTCGGATCACAGTTTGGAAAGTGAGCTTTCTATGCGCATTGGTATTGCAGGCTCCGCATTTTCACATTTGTCCCGACCTCTTTTGACCAACCGGCATTTGCCGACAAGGCTTCGCCTGAAGCTGTTTCAATCCTTAATCGTGTCCAAATTATTCTTCGGACTTGGTGCTTGGCATACCCCAACACCCAAGCAGCTGAAGCGTCTCACAGGCTTCTACATTCGTTGCCTCAAGAAGATTCTTCGGTTACCGATCGAGAAATGGGCACAGAGTAATGAACAAGTTTTCCTCGAAGCTCAGATGCTGGACGTACGTGCACGTTTAGCAGTTGATCGTTTGCTCTATGCCCAGAGGGTTTTCGCTGTAGGTCCTTTCTTTCTCCAAAATGTGATTCATTTGGAAGAGAGTACAGTCACTGACCCATGGTTAGCAGGACTGAAAGCAGACTTGCAATGGATGCAGGATATTGACCCCACTGTTTTGCCGGAGGGCTGGTCAGTGGATCTGACTGATCTCATTGACGCTTGGCAGACGGAGGGATTCCCATGGAGGTCCAAAGTCAAAGCAGTCGCACGAAAGCATCGGATGCAAGAGCAGACAATGGAAGAGGTGGCCAGCCTCCATCGGCAGGCTTTCGCTGTTTTGAAGCAGGCAGGGGCTACTTTCAAACCTGATCCTTTTCACATTGTGCCAGAGGCCTGCAGTCATGCGTGTTTCTGTGGGGCTAGTTTCATGTCTCGACGAGGACTCTTGGCGCATCAGAGACGTAAACACCAACTTTTCTCTATTGAACGACCATTTCTCCAAGGGACCATTTGTTTGCATTGTGGCAGGTTCTGTTGGACCACGCAAAGATTGCAGCAACATTTAGCTTACATACCTAAGAGCCTTGGGTATAACCCATGCTTCCATGCCCTTTCCACCCAAGGGTGTCAAGTTGAATATTCTGCTGAGAAGATGCCTAAACAGGTTGTTGGCCTTGCCCGCAGGGAGTTTTTGCCCACCTTGGGACCGCGCCATGAGCAGCAGACTTGTCTTGATAAGCAGCGACGAGCATGGCAAATGGAACTGGATGAATGTTTTGCTAAGCTGGTCATCCAGGACCAACCGGAGAATGCCATGGATCGAGGTGCTCGGATTGGTGACGCCTTATCGGAAGCCACTCAGAAATGGTTCCATGAGTATTTTCCGTTGGGCCCGTCAGACTCTGCTAAACAAGATTTGGTTGACACCTGGATCCAGATTCTCTGCATTGATTTCGGTGACAATAACCCATTATGGGACAATTGGCTTGCTTTTGTCTTCCTTGCCTGGGGTGATCACTGGTTGCCGGAGATTATCGCTGAATTTTTGGATGGAGAGGCTGAACAAATCGTTGATGAGTTGTATGCTGATTTTGCTACGGGGCTTCCCAGATATCAAGTGCTCAGCCGTATCTCGTTTTTAGAGTCTAGCTTGAAGCACTGTGTTGAGGCTCCACCTGAGCCGCATCGACCTGCTGTCTATGGTGGGCTGGGAACTCTCCGCCATCCAAAAACCACATCTCGGGTATACCAGCCCGTGCCACGAGCATATGGCTGTCAGGAGGCTTGGTTGCAGCACTTGCGACAATGCTCTTTCCTTGATTTGCCGATCACCCCTTTCTGTCCTCGCTATAAGAGCATACAAGAACAACCAGTGTTTTTGGTAGTGCATCTATTTAGCGGGCGCAGACGTGAAGGAGATTTTCATTAAGCATTGCATCAGCTGGCGGAAACCAGCAATTGGAAGGTCGTGATCCTGTCACTAGATACTGCGGTATCGACTGAGTATGGTAATCTCATGACTGGTACAACTTCCTGGCAAACCTTGAGTGCACTGTATTTGTCCGGCAGGGTGGCTGCTACGCTGTGTGGCCCACCCTGCGAGACCTTTTCTGAAGCCCGGTATACACCGGCTCCGCCTGGAGAGACGCTTTGGCCGAGGCCGCTCAGATCCTTTGACAGACTGTTCGGCCTGGAAGGTTTGACATTTCGTGAACTCAAGCAATGTGCAGTTGGTAGTTCGTTTTTCCTGCAAACAATCTGGATTCTCTGCATCCACATTCAGTGTGGTGGGCTGTTCGTAGCAGAACACCCTGCCCGGCCAGCCGATGCTTCAAGACCAAGTATTTGGACTAGCCCCATCGTCCAATTACTCTTGATGTTGCCGGAACTTCAACTCCATCACGTTGCACAGTACCAGTGGGGTGCAGATGCTGTCAAACCCACGGGCCTATTAGCTCTGGCCATGCCGTTTTTTCGCTGTGACCTCTACAAGAAGGCCTTTAGTGACGCGGTCAGGCCAACGAGAGCTGCTATTGGGAAGAATCCTAATGGCGAATTCAATACTTCCAGACACAAGGAGTACCCTGGAAGATTTTGCCTTGCATTGGCTTTTACCTTTGCCAATCAATTCAACCGGCTGTTGGGCTCCGACAGGACACGTGCTGTCCCCCACACAGCCCAGGATCTGGAAGAATGGGTTGCGTCTGCTGCGAAGGCCAGCACTCCAATCCGTACAGGGGCACAATGGTTGCCGGATTTCCAGAACCTTTAATTTGTGTGCATTACGCTGCAAGGGATGACCCTTTCGAAGCGCGAAATGAAATGAAAAATGCTGAAGCATCAGGGAAATAATTGATTAATAAACTATATACATTGGCAATACTGTGACTATGAGATACTATGAGAATGATTGTGGTAAAGTCAGATTTGGTTTCCCAAGGAACTTTAGATTATTGTCCTTGAAAGGGTGCAAGTCGGGCGAATCATATCAAACACATTGTGGACCGCGTAAGAACCATAGACCCACTGCGAGTGCGTCGTTGATAATTTCCTTAGCAATCCTCGCAAACATGCTACCAAGGGTGCTAGCTAGTACCTGTCTTTTTACACATTTGGACGTTCAGACTCAAACAAAAGGCAGCAATCTGCAGTTGGTTTGTCACACGCCTGATTTGGGGATGGATGTACATTCATCATTCATCTATACAAGCGTTGATGGCAAAAAGCTGTGTGCCAGCCTGCCCTGATCCCTGAGGACCACCTTTGACGGCGAAGGTGACGTCAGCGGCAACTTTGCCTTGGACGGGCGCAATGGCCGAGTTCGTTTGGCAGCGACCGACAAGTCAGGCACTCGAGTGACTTTGGCCTTGGATGTTGGCAAAGCGGTCGCAGTGAAGATTCAGCAACCTGGCTGAAAAGGGTCATGGGATGTCATGGGGCAGCCGCACATAAGGTTGTTTGAAAGTAGGGTACCCTCAAAGGACCCAAAGTTTCGACTGTTTGTCATCTAAGACTCTAAGATTTGAAAGATTTTAAAGATATGATATGCTCCACAAATTGGACAAAGCCATGTCCCATGAAGGCTGAAAGCACAAATCCGGCGGAAACGAAACAGCACAATTTGATGCAAACCATGGGTTCCTGTAAATTGTATTTTCAGATTTTTCAAGCAGGTTGAACAAATGTGGGGTGACATTCAAGAGGTCCCATTTGTCCAGCGATGCACTCTTGCTCCGCTTGACACCTTATCTCATGAAGGCGCCAAACAAAAACTGAGCTATGGCTGTGCCTCAAAAGAGGAACGATCTACCAAAGCCATCGATTGCCCTCTGGCAATCAAACACACTTTGCTGGAAAATCCTCCAATTAGTTTGATGATGTTCCCATTTATATACATGATTTTAGAATATGTCAGATGCCCATGCAGTTTTGCATGTCCAATTCCAATGTTAAATGAACGGAGGTTAACGATGTTTATTCCCACCATTCGTGACCGGCTGAGGAAGCCACAACAGCCGGCCAAATGCCTCAAGCTGCCTTTGCCACACTCAGAGATATCGGACTTGTCAGCCTTGCCGGCTCTTGGAACAGGCGAGGATCAACCGAGATGGCGGTAATAATTGGGGTAGGCACGGAAAAAAATACCCTCTGGTAAACTACCATAGCTATTGAAAATTGCCATTTATTGTTGATCTACCTATAAAAAAATGGTGGTTTTCCATAGCTAGTATGTTACTTTACCAGAGGGTAGATCATAAACATCCCCCTCCTAATAACCCTTATGAAATCGATCCACCCGTGTGCGTATTTCGATGTCATTCCATGCGGGTCCCCATTTGTTCAGGATGCCAAAAGGGGGGTTCCTGATGAATTGCCAATTCCCCTTTGAAAAAGACCACGTTTTTTTTCAATCAAAAAAAGTGAGATAAAGTGAGCCTGCAAATGACTGATAGCAACAGACAGGGTCTAGCCAAGAAAAATAGAAAAAACGGTGTTTTTGTTCTAATACATTGTGGTATTGCCCCTGCAAAAAAAGAAAACATATTTGAAGAAACGACAATATTGTTCTGGCTCGTTTTTCAAGTGTCTAATTCTTTTTTGATTTTTTGTTGTGTGTTGTAAACTCCCAGTCTATGGAGTCCATGGCATTCCAAAGCCTTTTCGAATTAACACATTTCGTTTTCTTTGAAATGTCAGATCACATGGCTGATTTCCCATGTCGGCTCTGACGGACATTTTACAAGGAAACAAAAAAACAAATATATTCATAATATAATTGAAAAATGTGACGGTTTATAACGTCGGAATCTGTAATATCAACACACCACCTTTTATGATCTTTTATGCTTGTTATTGCATAAGCAAAACACTAGGAGCTTTGTCACTATATAAGGTAATCCTTACACTGGGTTAGAGTGTTAGATAACAAGAGATCATTTTCAAGATCCAAAACTCTGATAAGCCGAGGTTCGAGCGTAGGGGTACCGTACCCCCAGGGGTATCCAATGTTTTGGCAAAACCATATGATCGATGACTTGAAATTATAGATGTTTTACCTTCCATTTGGAATGAACATCCCCAATTACCAATATTCTTCAAGGGGTTCAAATTGCCAACGAGAGATGTTGATTACAAAGATAATCCTCATTTGTAGGTTCCTGGTAGGTTCAAGATTGTCATGTTGATGGGACAGAGAGACCTGTTCCATCCCATGGTTTCCAGATCCCCATCCAGGCATCTTCCAGAAGGTGGAGGCTCTTGGAAATCAGGCCTGATACCCAGGGGTTAAACCCCTGGTAACCGTTAGGTAACCAAAATAGCTGGTCCTCATGGATGTTCCCCAAAGACAATGTCGGTTTTGACACATCCCCAGATGTCGTAAAGAGTTCTTTACAACCCAAAAAAACATGCCCTCAGATACATAGCTGCCATACTCCTCAGCCTGCCAGGAGTGTAATCACTTCCAATATGCCAGTGCTATTCCTGATACTGGCACGGATTCTCTTGATCTTTGGTACAGTGAGGCACGGTAGGGCTGGTTCTTGGGATGGTTCCGGCTTGACCGCCAGGTTTGCTTTTTCACGTATATTCACCTGCAAAACCACATGCTCAACTTTGTTCAGCCTTCAGTAGTTTGCGTGTATTGTTTATTAGTTCAAATATGCCAGCAAAGCAGGAGCGTTGTTTCTTGCTATGAAGTCAGAGGTGATAGATTCTGCTGCTTGTCTTAGCTTTGTATTGCCTGATACAGACACTGAAAGCTTGCAAGTACCAATGTTAATTTTTGAGCAAGTGTAGAATCAACTTTGAGCGTATTGATCTGCATTATATATATATATATTATTGTAAATGCGGCACCCCACCCGGGGCTGAACACACGGTGGCACCTTTTATCCAATCCAAAGGGTCCTTCGGACAATCGATCTCAGCCCCTGCAATGACCTGGGATGGAATCTATATGGCCAAACTGAATTCACATCCCCCAAAAACTCTCAAATTCAAAAAAACAGGTTTGTCATCTTCTTCTTCGGCATTCGGCCAAAGGTAATATGATCAATTATGATCTTTGGCCACACGACCTAGGATTCACTTCAATTTGCGCACCTCAGAGGTGCCAGGATAGCACTGCGAAGTGGCGGCTTCAGACTCATGAAATCACCCAAATCCTTCACCTTGGCGGTTCGATTTCACCCAGCGAAGGTATCGAAGCGTGTCAGGACAAGTCTTGGACTCTTTGATCAACTCATCAAAATTCATGCCACGCTTCTCAACTTTGGGCAATGTGCACACGGTGCGGCCCCAAGTATCCAGATCTGTCACTCCACGCGGCAGCGGAACACCACGCACGGTGACTGTGCCATCTTCAGAGACCTGAGTGAGCACATCGGATCCTGCAGTCTTGGGCGAATCACAATCCAGCTGAAAGCCATCACTTTCTGAAATCTCGTCTCCACGGCGCTTAGCTGCATCGCTCATGGACGAACCGCCAGATACAGGCCATCTGAAGCAAGGCATCTTGAAGGACTCCTTGGCTGTTCAAAGATCGAAGAATCTGGAGGACCTCCTCAGGCACTTCCGTTGGCTTCATGCACTTGCGAGACATCGCTCACGCGCAAAAACACTTGAACAGGCTGAGAAAAACGATGATGATATCCGGGACTTCCTTGGAGAGATATACACGGCGACAAACTGTCAATCACTCATGCACTTCACACTGCACCCTCAAGCGTTCATGTTTTTCCGAAACCCTCAAGAGTGTCCCTAGGCAATCAAGTCAGAAAGACGTAAAAATTTGACAAGCTCGGCATACAGAGGCTTACTGAATTACGGACTTCTTGCGTTTGTTTTCGGCTTCGGTGGCTTCTTGTGCTGAACGAACTCTGTTACGATACTCTCTATGACGTTTCTCAGCAACTAGAACACTTGCTTCATCATTGAGTTGATCTTCACCAATGTCCAAGGCTGCACGAATGAGATCTGATGGATCGATTTTGTCTTTGGTGAATGCGTCTGCCAGCTGCAAGTTTGTGGGAACCCATCTAATTGACAGCTTGGTACGGCCTAAGCACTGCTTAATGATTGCCAAATCAATTGCCACTCTCTTGTCATCACATCTTGACACTGAAACAAGGATGTGATGTGATCATAAAGGCTCTTGCAGTCGGTCACGCCTATGAAAACCTTAGATCTGAGTGACGGCTACATCTCGAAGGCTGAAAGAGCCCTGCTTGGCCTCTGTTATACCTGTGCCTCAGCGCCAAGTGTGGAAGTAACAACTCTGGGGAGTCTCTGCGACTTCCATTGAACTGGAGACCATGGCAATGACTCATTCCAGTCTAAACATTTGTCAACAAAACTCAGAATTAAACCTCCCGTGTTGAAGTGACACCAGAATTCGCAAACCCGGCATCGGAGCGGAAGCAAACTGCCAATTGATCCCAAGGAATACTTCACCACGATTGACGCGTCAGAGTACTGTCTGGCACGATGGACAAGTTGATTGGCAAAAATCAGATCACTGACCTTGGGCGCGGGAAAACACTGCTGGCTAAATGACACCTGCGTGCAGGGTTTGCGTGCAGGGGTCTGTCCGCGATTGACTACAACGCCAATTTGCAGCACCATTCACTGCTCCCAAGGCCTCTACTTCCCGGTCGGTGGCTGGTGGGTCTTTGTTTCGGGCACGTCCTTTGGAAATGGAAATTGGTCTGAGGTGTTTGGCATATTCCTGTTGATGATGAGCGATTTCAATTGTAGTTGGACATTGAGCGTGTTGGATTCCATACCGCAAAACTCGCCACTACCTATTCGCCATTTTCTGTAGGGGAATTTGCTTTGAGCTTTCTTACGGCTTCAGTGAGACAGGCCCCTCTCCAGCTACTATATGGTGTCATCGACATGTGCAGCTAAAACACCAACCAAATCCCCTTTGGAGTCTCGGAGGTAGAATAAACAGCTGTCGAAGTGGGATTTCAGCCGACCGTGGTCACACACGCTAGAACTGAACACCTGGTACCAATTGAATGGCGCATCATTGGAACCATAAACGTTCCCGGTCACCTCGGTGACATCCTCTGGACTTAGACCGGGCACCCCCCCCCTTGCGGCTGTCTGGCGTACAGCGGCCGGTATCTGCTTTGGAGGGGACCGGCTTCGAGAAAAGCTCCTTTGATATCCCCAAGACACATCGTCCACCTCTTGGACACAATGATTTCTACGATGATTTGCAAGGAGAGCATCAACTTGGGTGAGGGTATCTGCACCAATCAGGGTCTTTCCGCATCCTGTGTCAACCACCCCAAAAACCTGGGGATTGAATCAGTCCAGCTGCGCACACGTTCTCGGCAGTTAGAACATCTGCTGAGACCACAAACGTGACCTCGTGCTCGTCCACCTCCACATCGCCAGCGGCTGTTGCTGAGGGGCAACCTCACTCTGCCACTCCAGTGGCAGAGCTCCTACACTCACGAGCCCAGTGGCCCAGTTTGCCGCACTTTCTGCATCTTGTGCGCCTTTTGAGGTCATCAATCTCATTTCGGAAAGATTTCCGCTGTGAGCCAATAGTACCAGAGGCGGTGGACTTTGTGAAGCTTCGAGCCTGATTTGTTTTGGCCGTCTCGGTTCTACCCTCAGAAAGCTCGATGGCATCCAGATCTTGTGTCCCAGAGTGATCAGCCAGAAAGGCCTGCACATCTTCATACTGATCATCTTCAGATTCAGCAAGCCGCGGACTGTTGTCGTCCACAGCCGGCACCGATCGACTTCTTGGCCTTCGACCCAGCTTTGTACATCGGAAAGCATGACCTGAAGGCCTTGCTCAGGCCTTGATGATGGCCTTTTGCTCCTCACTGAGTCCAGCACAGTTCAGTGTGATCCAACCTCGGGCAGGTCCAGGGAAATCCGTGTTTGCTCGACGCTTGCACCTGTCGAACGTGTCTCACGGACTCGAGCTGTCCATTGTTTGGCTGTCTCACCTTCTGTGGCCGACAGAGCAAAAAGCTTCACCAAGCGCCTCGCCCATCAGATCAGTCGCTTCTTTCTCCGGGAACCTGTCCCCAAGCACCTTCCACAACTCCTTATCGCCGCCTTCAACCGCAAGGCTTTCCAATGTCAGATGTTCGACCGCTTCCCAAGCGGCTCCGTCCAACAAGGTGTAGATGCAAGGTGCACGTCGCTTTGGATTCAAATCCTTCATAGTCCACATTTTCGCAGTCGCCCAGCTCTGCCATTGCCGCAGAGCCTTGCCTGGGTCATCAACGTCACCACTAAAACGCTTCAAACCACGATCAGGCTCCGCTACCAATGTAAATGCGGTAGCATCACCCCACCCGGGGCTGAACACACGGCGGCACCTTTTATCCAAGCCAAACGGTCCTTCGGACAATCGATCTCGGCCTCTGCAACGACCTGGGATGGAATCTATGATATGGCCAACTGAATTCACATTATTATGACATAATATTACAAATATTTACAAATATATTATATATTTTTATATACTGTACATATGTATGCTGTGTATGTTATGTAGCTATATGTGTATTTAAATATATATATGTATATATAGAGGAGCGATACATACACATGAGAATGTGTGCGTTTCTTGTGATTTTGCCATCCTGCAACTTCATTATTGGTTGCAGGAAGATGATTCTATCTGCCAGATCGATCTCCAGAGGCGGCGATGACTTGGCGATCAGCCCTCCGAAAATGCCCATGTTGAAGCGAACATGATCGTGAACCACAATAAATCATGGAATTTTGGGGTTCTCTATGTTTAGACATAGCCATGGCCCATGACATGGGTGACCATGAAAAAATGCGCGCAAGAGGCTGCCTGAAATGAGCACAGTGCGCATGAAAGTCATGAGCTACATGAACGAGTTCATGCCGGAGGCTGGAGATCAAGTTTACAAAGGGGACCTCTGTTGGCTGATTTTAGCATAGAGGATGAAGGACTACCCGATAGATTGGAATTATGATAATCCCTGAATTGGGAATCCCGTGCTTAACCAACCAGCAATGAATGGAATAACATGTAACATTTATGGTTTGGCAGCCACTGCTCACATGGAATTGCTCCCTGCAACCCTAAATGAGTCGAAATGCCAATGTCACTTGAAAAAGGAGTAAACATGCACAATACTTGCCATTTTATGTTGAACATGTATACATGTATATATATATATATGGAACAATCTTGTTTGATCATGTTTGTACATTGCTATTTGTAGATATATCACGTGTACGTATAGTCTGTATAGCCCGATGTGCACACACATGTATATGTATATGTAGATGTAAATACTTGTACATATATATATATATATATGTATATATATATATATATACATAGGTGCATGAGGATTCTAATACAGATAGATCGACAGATCGACAGATCGATAGATCAATAGAACGATAGATCGATAGTAGATAGATGGATAGATGGATAGATGCATGGATGGATGGATGGATGGATGGATGGATGGATGGATCGACAGCTAGATAGACGGATACATCCATAGTTAGATATATCAATAGATAGATTGATAGATAGATCGATCGATAGATATATCGATAGATACATAGATAGATAGGTCGATAATTAGATAGATCAATAGACAGATTGACAGATCATTGGACGGAAAGACGGACGGACGGACGGAAGGATAGATCGACAGAGAGATAGATCGATAGTTGGATGTGTAGATAGATAGGTTGACAGATAGCTAGATCAATAGTTTGATAGATAGATAAATTGATTGATTGGTAGATTGATGGGTTGATAGCTCAATAGACAGATAGGTACGTAGATGAGATGAGATGAGATGAGATGATATAGATAGATCGATAGAGAGATAAGATAGAAAAGATAAATAAGATAGATAGGATAGGTAGGATAGAAAAGCTGGATAATATATATATATATAGAGAGAGAGATGGGATAGATAAGATCGATAGGATAGATAGGATAGATAAGGTAGATAATTTAGATAAGATAGATAATATAGATACGATGGATACGATAGATAAGATTCATAAGATGGATCTGATAGATAAGACATATACATGATGGATAAGATGGATAAGACAAATAGATAGATACAATAAGATAAGATAAGATAAGATAAAGCAGGACAGGACAGGACAAGATAGGTAGATAGATAGAAAGATAAATAAATCAATAAATAAATAAATAGATAGATAGATAGATAATTAGATAGGTATATAGATACATAAATAGATGGATGGATAGATAGATAGATACATACATACATATATAGATACATACATACATACATACATACATACATACATACATAGATAGATAGATAGATAGATAGATACATAGATAGATAGATACATAGATAGATACATAGATAAATACATAGATAGATACATAGATAGATACATAGATAGATACATACATAGATACATACATAGATAGATAGATAGATACATACATACATAGATAGATAGATAGTTAGGTTGATTGTTAGGTTGATTGTTAGATCAATAATTTGATAGAGATCCTTCGAGGATTCCTGATGCGCGGCAGATACAGTGCAGGTCAGCCTCTTCAGCGACTTTCATGGCGACGAGGATTCGGACTTTCTTTGACACAATCTGATGAATTATAACCACCCAGCGACCTCACTGGAATGATGGTAAATGTAAGGGTAACTCCCAAAGAACCTTATTTCAGCTATTTCAGCTTAATGAAATATGACAATTTACCCAGACACTTCCATCTCGAGGTGACTTGAGCCGGCGTGCTCTCGTTGCTAGGATGAATGGTCCTGCGATACTACGAGCAGAAGACCTTGGCTCCACCACGGAGCTAAGCTGTCTGCTAGCAAAGCTCCAACCTCTGCAACTGTTGCAAGTATGGTAGAGGCATGCTTCAGATGCACTTTGGGTTACTTTGGGTGGTTGTTGAGAGGGGTGGTGGAAAATGAAGTCCAACAACCATTGACCCTCAGGTGTTTGGTTTCATGAAGTCGACAACTCAACCTGTTGGCATCAACCTTCAGGCGCTTGGCATGCTCGGTGTGCTCCCAAGTCAGGTGGGCGGAGATATAAGTTTCGCAGTTGATGTCATCAGTTCAGTTTTTGTTTCACTTGCTCGTCCGTGTCGTGACAATATCAGAAACCATGATCACTTAACCGGTTTTTTGGTGATGAGTTGCAATCTGTCCAAGATTCACCATCAATGTGCTAAATTCAATCATGAACCATTTCCGTTTGTCAATCGTCGCCGTTGGGGATCTATGATTGTTAAATTCCCGATCATTCGCTTCACATTAGGCCTTAAATTCGGGCATCGACCTTCTGCAGGCCGCATCTGTTCTTGGATCTCTGTCTTGGGATGAAGCTTTGTCCTTGAGGCGGGGACGGGCTGCACTTTCTGGTTGGTTTCAATATGAAATAATGTAGTCTGACAGTCAGCCCAATAATAATTTATCCCCGGACCAACTCCGTAGGTTTATTATTAGGTTTCCCACATTTCTACAAATAGAAACCTTTTGAAACCAACATTGACCTACAATACATTGACTACATTTCAATAAATTGACTGTTTCAAGATGTTTCAAACTTGAGCAATTGCTACATTTTGCTCTGCAGTTTTGGACAACAGACACTTCCGTCAATCACATCGATGTGTTGAAAGGTGTTCGCTAGGATGCAAAGATATGCAAAGCAAATACCATGTGAGCTGGTGCTGAAATGTGTTTGCAGGTACTAACTGCTTGAAGTGGAACATTGAAACATGCTCAGCTGATCAGGAAGGTCCAAACAAAGAGGATGTGCTGTCACCTGTGTAGGACCTCAACCTCGGGGTTGACACTTGAACGTCAAGAGCATGGAGCACCTTCATGCTGCATGGAAGATGGACTGCAGGTGCAGGGCTGTCAACCCTTCCTAGACCAGTCATGACCAATTTTGGGCCCCAATGGAGAATCAACTAACCCTGGTTAGTACATCCTCAAAGGTCTCTAAGTGAATTATGCCATGTATATATATATATACATATGTATGTACTAATATACTACACATACAGGGTGTAACGGTATAACTATGGTTACTAACCAGTTGCTAAATGGTATGATCCAAGCAGGTGTGGGACGCAACTACCACAGTATAATATAGTAGAATGTTCCACAAGGTATCGCACTTTGGCTTCTCACTTGACAGGTCAAGACTGGTCTAGCGTCTCCTTTGGTGAAAGCTGTGAACGGTGAACAGCAATGCTTTGGCTCAGATACAAAGACTGAACAGGACTGGGTTGCTGGGTGTAGGATCTCACCTGGCAAGCCAATCAGGAGTCGGTTTCAGATGTTAGTGTTCGTCAGACATTGGAAGTATCAGTATAATCGCAGTTTTGTTTGTTTGACCGCACGGGATAAGCAAGCTGAGAAGTAAAAAAAAATCCACAATTGTTGGAAGAACACTTTTTTGGGTTGTGCATCAGGGTTTCCAGCGGTAGTGAGCACGCCTGGCCAGGAATGGATCAATCAATTTGCATCTCTCTTGGCTGATCCTCATAGTCAAGTGCTGGGAGTGTGTTTGACTGACGGCTTCTGGGATGCAATCAACACCAAAAAACCTTCCCCCTAGCAGACTGTCATTGTCATATGAATTACCCTCCAAATCAAACCCTGATAAACATTTTCGTATTGCATCTATTTATTTGGGGGCCAGTATCGGGGGTATTTAAGATCAGAGGAAAGCAGTACTGTGTTCTGAAACGTGTCCTTTTTGCAGTTGCCATGGGATCCATGGGTTGCTACAGCATGCTACAGCTCGACATGCCGCAGGCTTCTACAAGCAGCAAGGCGATAGCTCCGCAGATTCGAGCGAAATATCCAGCAGTGATGACGTGATGTCACCTTTGCTGTGACCTGTCGGATCAGATTGCCTGAAAACATGGGATGGGTCAAAACATGTCAAAACAGGTCAACACCTACTACCAGTTACTACCATATTTGGGGGAATCATCATCCATCACCAGCTATTTGAGGGTATCTACTGTTCCGTTTTGACTCGCCATATGACCTGACGATACCTTGATCAGTTGCTACCTGAGTCATGTCACTGGAGACGACCATCGATTTCCCCATAAGAATCATCAAAACAGTTGGGTTTTTGCGCCGGTGGAAAACACCTTGTCAATCCTCACAAATCTTGGCCCGACACCCAGGACCAGCTTCGGCTTCAGCTTTGAGTCCATCCATCCGCTGCACGGCTTCTCAACAGCCCTCGGTGGACAAAAGGTCACTGGGGAAGTCATGCGCAGCAGACACCACAGCCACGGCGAGATCCGCGTGGATTTGGAGCATCGCAGGAGCCATGGCAACAAAACACCGGGGGATGCTGGGTGGCCCAGAATAATTATGATGAACCCCGAAGATGGCAGTTTGGGTTTGAATGGATGGTCCTTGGTAAGTCTTACAAGTCACGCAGTGTCGGCCTGTAGTCCTTCATGTACTCCCAGATCCTAGACTCCTAGACCACATAAAAGACTGTGAAATGAAGAGGACCTTGTCCAAGATGCAAAAGTCCAAGGCAAAACACGTATGGCACGGCTTCTTTTTTGTGGGAAAAGAATCAGAGAGGACTGCGATTTCGGAGAGACTCACAGCATTGATCATTGTTGAGTTGTGAACCTTTGTTCAGATGTTTAGATTTTTAGAGAAGTTGTTTCCAGAAGCATCAAAAAACTATCCTGGACTCTGTTTATCCCCTCTTCTTGCATGACTTGATGGCAAGCCCGCTTAACAAGTGTTCGTTGACATCGGGAACACCTGAGGCTGTACCTCCGAAGCACCACCAAAGACTTTTCCAGTGGAATTCCGGAGGTCACCAGCGAAATCATTTACAGGCTCGATCGCAACTTTGGAAATATCCATGCGGAGGGTTCCTAAAATGGGGGTTCCCCAATCCATGGGTTTCAATTTGAGTTTCAATATTTATATAGATAAGAACAGATAAAACGGTTTTACTTTTGGACGATTTGGGGTAGCTATGGGTAGCTCATTTCAGGAAACCTCCATGTGACATATGCGACTCTCGTACCAGAACCCCAGCGTCAGAAACATTGGTCGATTGTGAGGCTCCGATTTGGGAGGTAGAAATCCCCAGGGATGCAGTTTACCTCGTAATACGGGTAGCTTGATGTTGGATTATATTGGATTCTGATTTCAGGAAACAATATATAATGATATGATATGATATGTAGGTCCTTTGACTTTGGGGCATGGTAAGATATTTTTTTGTGATGTCTGAAAATTGGAATCCCACTCTAAGCAATTCTATCTCCCATTCGGAGTTGGGCCTGTGTTTATCGTTTTGAATTGTCATTCGAAACTTGTTGATGCAATACGAAGTATGATGTCAATATCATGTTCAATTATTGATTGGAGTTATCATTGGAGTATGATAAAAGTATCATTCTGAAACAGTGGTTTCATGGGACGTAGTTGTATAACTCTGATTTGGTTTTGCATTGTTTGTTTTGTTTTGCTGATGAAAACTGAATTGAAAAGTGCCACAATTGAGAAATATAATATACAATGTAAGAAAACATGAAACATGGAGAAAGCTGAAAATGACGGAAATAATGATCAGAAGAAAAAAGAAAACCGAGATATATATTATTTATATATATACATGATACATATATGTATATTTGATATATATATATATATGTGATATATATATATATATGATATATATATATATGATATATATATATATGATATATATATGTGTGTGTGTGCAATTGAGGGCGTTCGAACATGATGCAAAAATGCACAGTGATACATGTGTACCGGACATTGTTACACAGAAAATGAATGAACACATGATAATACAATGATAAAGCCCAGCTGTTTTTTGTGTTGCTGTTGTTTTGTCCTAAAAGACGACACATGATGGAAACCACTGCAAACAATACACAATGGGTAAAACGCATGATAGAACACATGATCAAAAACATGTTTAAACGCTAGTTGTGTTATAATTCGTTAAAATTCATGGCCTCGTACCTTTTTGCCACAGCAGTTCTAGGGTCCCACCTAGCCAAGGCCAGTTTAGCATCATACATCAGAGACAAAGAACCAAATCCCAGGGAAAAGTCGAATTATAGACAAAATCACACAATTGGTTTTCACAGATTGTGGAAACAATGCACTTTTCTTTGCCTTTTATGAATTGAGAAACACATGCTAAACATTGCTAAGCAATAGTTTGGCTATGGTACAGTGTGTGCCTGTAAGATTGTTAACCGTTAACCAGTGCTATGGCACACTCTCCCGCACATTTTCAGGGGCGACAGAAACCAACTATGGGCGCGATTCCGGCTGAACGCGAAAGAGCAGTGCTGGCAGATTGACACCTCGCAGGCATTGGCGGCCCAACAAAAACCATGGGAGCAAAGGGGTTCCAGGTTTTGAGACAACCCCATATGGGGAACGAGTTTCTCACCCATTCCGCTTTCAGAATGTAAAATAATGTAAAAGATGTAAAAGATGTAAAAGATGTAAAAGATGCGATATCATATTAGATGCCTGACTGACTATGTGAGAACCAAATCTCCCAGGAATCACAGTTTCTTCGGTTCCATCTCCAAGGCCCTACAGCCCGAATGTGCCATTGTCAAAACTCGGCTAAATTGCTGTGATTCATATGGAGTCCATATGGAGGGTCATCAATCTTCTGGGATGACCACACTGTTACCACATCTCAGGGTGACCATGGCCCAAATCATTACGAGCTGGCAGGCGCTAGGAGGAGGGGGTCGTGCTCCAAATCCCTTTCGCCGTGGCAAGCTCTCTGGGCACAGCACGATTCCTTACACTTCCCAGGCAGTGCCTTATTTTCGAGACAGTTGGATTTTGAGGTTCTTCTTGATGTGTCTGAAATTCTGTGTTTCATCCATGTATGGCTATTTGATAGATTTTGATAGGGAGGGCTATGTATTTTTCGTTTTTTTTTTCGCGGTTGGTTTTGGTTTTTTTGGGGGTTCCTGGTTCTATGCTTTCCTGCTTTTCTGCTGTTCTGCTTCTCTGCTTTCCTGTTTTTTGCTTTTCCTGTTTCTCTGCTTTTCATGCTTCTTTGCTTCTCTGCTTTTCATGCTTCTCTGCTTTCCCTGCTTCTCTGCTTTTCTGCTTTTGTGCTTCTGTGCCTTTCTACTTCTACTATTCTACTTTTTCTTTTCTTCAGTCATGTGTTTCTGCTGCTCTACTTCCTGCTCCTTTGCTTCTCTGCTTCCTGTCTTTACTGCCTCCTTGTTTTTTTCTTTTGCTTTATTCTCTCCTGTTTGTATCCTAACTGAAACCCAAAGAAACCCTAAAGAAATCCTGATGATAAGAAACCCCTACATGACACCCTAAATGAACCCTAAAGAAACCATAAATTAAGCCTAATGAAACCATAAATGAAACCCTAAAGAAACCTTAAAGAAACCCTACATGAAACCCTAAATGAAACCAAAAATGAATTCCTAATGAAACCCTAAATGACACCCTAAATGAAACCCTAAAGAAACCCTAAAGAAACCCTAAAAGAAACCCTAAATGAAACCCTAAAGAAACCCTAAAGAAACCCTGAATGAAACCCTAAAGAAACCCTAAATGAAGCCCTACATGAAAGCCTAAAGAAGCCCTAAATGAAACAATAAATGAAACCCTAAATGAAACCCTAAATGAAACCCTAAAGAAGCCCTAAAGAAACCGACATGAACGTTTGAAAATCCTGATAAGAAATCCTGAGAAGAATTCTTACATGAAACCCTAAACGAAACCCTAAATGAAACCCGACAGAAACCCTAAATGAAACCCTAAAGAAGCCCTAAATGAAACCCTAAAGAAACCCTAAATGAAAACCTAAAGAATCCCTAAATGAAACCCTAAAGAAGCCCTAAAGAAACCCAGATTAACGTTTGGAAATCCTGATAAGAAATCCTGATAAGAAACCCTATATGAAACCCTAAAGAAACCCTAAATGAAACCCTAAAGAAACCCTAAATGAAACCCTAAATGAAACCCTGCATGAAACCCTAAAGAAACCCTAAATTAAACTCTAAAGAAACCCTAAACATAATGAAACCTTAAATGAAAGCCTAAATGAAACCCCAGATGAAACCTTAAAGAAACCTTAAAGAAACCCTACATGAAACCCTAAATGAAACCAAAAATGAATTCCTAATGAAACCCTAAATGAAACCCTAAATGACACCTTAAATGAAACCCGAAATGAAAGCCTAAAGAAACTCTCAAGCAACCCACATGAACGTTTGAAGTACCAAAATGTAGCAATTTCCATGCAAATGAGAGGTTGAAGTGCCAAAACGTGGCAAATACCATGCAGAATGGAAGGCGAACATGGCCAAATGTAGCAAATGCCATGCAAAATGCAAAGTAACCATGCCAAAATGTAGCAAATACCATGCAAAATGCAAAATAGTAACCATGCCAAAATGTAGCAAATACCATGCAAACCGACAGATTCTAGTTCCAAACTGTTGCAAATACAAGGCAAATGGTACCAGGAAAGAAAGCAAAAAAAAACCAAACCCTGAGCCAAAAAAAAACCAAAAACTATTCTGAACCCTTATGATAGTGGGTAAGTATATCATAAACCAGAGGATTTTGTTTCGTTTCTCTAGTTTCAGACACACCCAAATCAGGATTGATATATCTTGGATGGTAAGGTGCATAGATCCAGCATTATCCAAGTCTTACTCCTCACCAGATTGATGTCTTGGGTTCACGATTCATGATGTTTCATGCAAGAACAACATCTTGCAACCTTCAAATGTCTTCGACTGTATATAAATATAGATATATATATATATATCCAGCATGACCTAATCTTGAAGCCAGAATTACTCTCTCAATTGTCTGGGAATGGCTCAAAATATGTTATTTCAACCTAGCAATTGGAAAGCCACACGCGATGCCCAAATCATACCTCTTATTCTTCAGGTCATGAGTCCAAAGTTTGGGTAGCCTAATCCCCAGTTTGAGGGAACCCTCAGTGTTTGTTGGAATCTGTTGGTACCCTCTGGTAATTTAACGTAGCTATTGAAAATGACCATTTATAGTGGAATTTCCCATTAAAAATTGTGATTTTCCATAATTAGTTATGTTAAATTACCAGAGGGTATCTTTTGGTTCTTCAATTTTGTGATGCCGGTGATGCCGTCATTTTTTGCAGCCTCTGAGGCACAGAAGTATACCTTCTTCGTCGCGCCTGAGAAGCGGGTGGACATCTTCGTTCGGGATCACACCTTGGGCTACTTGGAGCTCACCGATCTCACCCGCGATGTCGCCACGGGCGTACGTTCCCAGGGGTGGATAACAGCTCCCTTAAGTGCCTTGGTGATGTGAGAAAGCGTTGCTTACAGCAGGTTGGGGTTGAATCTTTGCCATCGCCCCAAGCCTGGATGATACTGGGCTGCTGCTCCTTCTCCTTGCTACTGCCGATTTGACCATAAATGAAGGCACATAGTCAACATAGTCAGCTTAAGATCTAGGGAACCACAAGAATTGAAGCAGAAAAAATGGTTGCTTCAAGTGTGCATATACAGATATATATGTATATTATATGTATAAACATCATGTTGTTGGGGTACTCAGGGTACTCAATGACTTGATCCATCCCCATGCCTGTTCCATGACGCCCATGAGGTGAAGAGATCTTTGAGGTGGGACAGGATTGGCAGTGTGAACAGGAGCTCCCAGATCCTTGGATCATCCACCTGCAGTATGGCAATATGTCGTTTTTCCCTTAAAACCCTGGTACTGGTACTTTTGCTGTTGAAATGTGTTGAAATAGCTGGTAAAAGTATGTAAAAGTGTTCATCTCCCTACACGTATTGGATACATCTGGTATTTCATGGTATTTCATAGGTTTTGGCCCATGGCAACCAAGATGCCCACAAGTTCTCTGCCTGCGCCTAAGGACAAGTACCTGGACCAGTTGGCCACATGGGATTTGATCCAGGTCTTTCTGCCTCCTGAGTGACACGTCGCCGTGACACGTCGCCGGGCCGTCTCGGGCCTTCGCCCATGGCTGAAAAGCAATTCCGCAGTTCTTGATGGATCGCAAGCTTTCATCAGATATCGATCCATAAGCTATCCACATGGCTTTGTCGGTCCCACTGGCATACACAAAAGAGGAACAGGTTTTTTTTAATGTGGTTTTCTTTGCAGGATGCAGACGTGTGAGTATCGTGAAACAATTGAAGAATCAATCCGCATGATAATAGTAGGTGTCCCCGCATCCTAATTGTGTTATTTGTGTCCCCTATCAATCTCCATTGCTTTCACATCAAGAAGAGTATACGGTATATGTTTCTAGGGAAACATTATCGTGCAAATTTCATGGATAATAGGCATTACTGTACCGCCCTGAGATCATCCCTTTGTGTTTGGCTCGTTCAGCGAAGAAATCACACTTGGGACCTGGGAGGGCAGTTCCACACCTGAGGCCCTGTGACTTGGAGGACCTTCCTCGTCTTCCAAGCCACGCGGATGCAGCGGACGCGTCGCGGTGGGGGGAGATTTCGCAAAAATCAGAGGATTTGTGGTGATATACTGAGCATTCATCATGAATTGGGATGTAACCAACAAAATTGGGCTGTAGAATTGGATCTATCATGGGATGTCATGGGAATATAGTGGCAACATGTGGGAAGAACCATCACAAATGGGGATTTCGCCAAGCAAGCATAGTGTTGGTGTTTGATGGGATATGTTATCAATGGCCATCTAAATTGGAGGTACCTACCATATATAAGGCCTCTGTAAGGGAATATGATGTTGACCCAGTCGTCACGTGGGAAGTTGATGCCAGACATCATCCTTGAAGCCTTGAGGTCACCCGAAATCACATGGCAGAACAAACTTTGTGAGTCAAAATTGGGTCAAGACCAGAATATAAAGCCCCATAGAAAAGTTCCAATTTAGTACCACCCATTTCTGGTTAAATTGCTATGGTTTGTTATTCGGTTTAACCGCATTATACCACATTAGTATTCCTCCAAGCCGAGGTTTCCGCACGCCGTATGAACCGGAGGACCTGTCCAGGGTCAGCTGCACAAAACCGCTATTTCCTCATAGTTAATCATTAATCGAATAGATGGTAGCTAAACATGCCGCCCAACATCATTTTAGCATGTGTGTACATATATGTATGTACATATATAAGTCAAGTATGTATTGGTAAACATGGCCGGTATCAGTTGTTCGATGTTGTTCTGTTAGTTGTTTGCAAGCATCCCCAGTAAAGGTAGGATTAGGATGTTGTTCTGTTCCTGTTTAATTGAATCCCCAACAAGATCCTGCTTTCTAAATCCTCATGAAAAATTCGAAATACAAAGATCTACAACTGAGAAATACCATCTGATGATCAAACATGGCTAGCTGGAAAATCCACCATTTAGTTCGATGATTTTCCCAGTAAGACCTCCATTCATAGCATTTATAGGGGATTTCTACTTGCCATGATTACCAGAGGGATTCCAGTTCCTGGATGTTGGTTTTCCATGGTTTTCCCCCATCGCAGCCCTGTTTTGAGGAGCCCATTCAGTTCCCCAAGTTGGACTTGCCACCTGCGTCTGCTTTGCAGCTTCCAGATGGAAAAAACGATGGACTTCGCTCCAGCCAATGGAGGCTGGAGATGGAGGCAGGGCCCCAACTTGTTTGAAACATATTGTGCATACCCTGTTGAAAAATTATGTGTGTATGTGTGTCTACATTCTACACTTTAGGCCTTTAGGCAGTAGTATGAAAAGATTGCATCTCCACATATTGACCTGCATCCTTAATTTGAAACGAGCACATGCGTTGGCTTTACTTTGACCCTGCAAAGATATGCTTGATCTGGTTGGCTTTTGCAGCTAGCGGGAAGGCCATGGTCCCACACGAGCGACAATCCATGATGGCTGAATCGGAGTATGGACCTGCTCCAACGTTGGAGTTTCCAGAGCCTCGACAAGCTGTTGAAGTAGCTTGGCAAAAACGGTTTTATTGCCAGGGTCTCGTGGCAGTGTCTTGAAGTGGAGGCACCTGAAGATTGGTGTTATCCTTCTGTTTTCTCATGACATGCACGGCAACATTTGGAGTACGGTGTCAACGATTTATCCAAAACTTGGTTTGTTTATGCACTGAGGAGCATGTCGTCCCGGCCTTGGTTGGGCCCTCAACTGGCCGAATCAGATCGCGAATTGCGAAACCGGCCATTTCTGCAAATTTCTTCAGTAGGGCATTGAGACTGCAAGAATCTATGGATCTCTACACCGAGGTGTGTTCGATATTGCCTGACCTGAAGAATATGATCTCAAACATTTGGGTGTGTCCAAACAATTGGTTGGTATCCCCAAATCCAGTGGTTGATATTGGTTGATCATCATGTTCTTAATTAAAAAGGCCATGAATTGCCGGGGTATACTCCATGTTCAGACACCCATGGACGCTCCACCCTGGCTGCAGAAGCTTCCACTTCCGCCACCACCTCCACCTCCGCCTATACTTTCGCATACTGACGTGTTGATTCCTCAGCGTGGTATGGCCAGGATGCACTTTCATGCGCTCAAAGCAACCCCAAAATAGATAGAAAAGTTGGACGCCTGGAAATTAATTATTCGGGGGTTGCTGTAAAGCAATGGATGCTAATTAATGATTCATATTGGGGGACGGGATCGACCTACCTGTTTGACTTGAGTCACCGTTTGCGAGCTTTGGAAGAGTGTGTCAAAGTCGTCTGTGGTGGTCATTTCTGAAGGTTCACCAGGCTGTCCCCAATTCTGTCTGCAAATGGGGGTACACCCCAAAATGGCAGCTTGAATTCAGAAAAACTACCATGAAATGGTGGATTGAGGGGGACCCATTTTCAGACAAACCTGTGTGTACTATATATATATAATATTATATAATACTTATATTGCCTCACATACATCGTTGTCGGTTTAAACATGAAAGCCCTGTACCCCGTGGCCCGAGGTTTCAGGAGGCGGTGGAATTGCCCCTGGGTGTCTCCAATCTGCAGGTCAGTGGGTCGCAGGACCAAAAATTTCAGCTGGGATCTCCAGAGAAAGTGGGGAAATGCGGCCACATTTCAATGTTTTTTTAGTGAAGTGAAGTATGTATTGCAATGTGGCCAGAATCATCCACATTTAAAATCCAGTGTTTGTTTACTCATACTTCTCATTAATAGCATTTAATAGCTGCTTGAACTAGTTTGAACTGAAGAGCCACTCACCAACAGCCAAGACCACTGAACATAAGCGGCATCATTCCATGGATAAGGGATTCACTTCTACCTTGAAATGAAATGGCTGGTGCTGTTTTCCCCCTGAACGCGTGTCCGCAAAGATTCCCTTCAACGGAAAGTGACAGGAGACAATCTATCCTCCGCCTCAGCCCGTGTTGACCGAGCACAGCAATTTGGTTTTGGAGGAGAGTCCCAAGTTGAGTCAATCTGTCATGTACCCTCTGGTAAACTAACATAACTATGGAAAATCACCATTTTTAATGGGAAAATCCACTATAAATGGCCATTTTCAATAGCTATTTTGACATAACCAGAGGGTAATGGACCAAAAGCGCGGGTTTTCTGGTCTGGGCATTGCATGCCATTTGACAGGACGAATCTTTGCCACCTCCAAGCTGGTCCGGAACTGAGAGCCCTGTGAGATGTTTCTGTAGGATTTGGGCAGTGCAATGGATTTCGATGGGTTATTCGTTAAATGAACCAATGGACATGGATTTCAATGGGATTGATCGTTTCAATGGATTTCTTTCAGATTTTTCTTTCTGAACCCAATCAAAGAGTGGACACCAGCGGCATTTCCCTTTGTGCGGAGCTTCGTGGACCTTCTGACACCGGTTTCAGGAGACTCGTAAGACGGACCGAGATGCCGCGAGCAACACTTTCACGTCGAATTGTTTATGTTTAATTAATTCAAGGAATGATGATGGAATGATGTTGATGATGAAGAACACACTTACCGGTATCTAGTTGAAACACTTTTGGTTTCTTGCCTTTGCCTTCCTTGCTTTGTAAGAATTTTGATGAATTTTGAAGGTCGTGTTGAAAATGTGTTTTTTGTACAAGGTCGTCTTGAAGGTCTTGTGTCGTAAATCGCAGCCATCTGCACAACTCTCTGGACTGGTTCTCTTTGTTTTTGCGGTTCCAGATTTTTTGTATATTTTTTCTGTACAAGTATTCCATAAAGATACTTTTATGCTAGATAGCTCAATACTCCATGTCTGTACCAAGGTGTGGATTGTGGAACCTCAATTGCAAGGAGGTGCGAGAGGTTTTGGTGGATGTTTCTCAAAAGCTTGAGCTTGGGCTGCTAGTGCAACCATCTTGTAGGGAATGCATACTACAACATAGCATTGTTGAGTGTTGATTTCAGTGAGGGCTAGTCATTTGGGATTGATCAAAACCATTAAAAAAAACCTATGAAATACTTTGGGGAACATAAATGAGGACCAGCTATTGTGATGTTCACCAGGGTACAGCGTTCACATCCCCAGTTGAACGCCTTTTTGGCCACGCAGGGAAAGTGTGCTGCCGCCAAGAAGGATGACAGTGACAAGTGTGTTCGTTGCCGAAAGGTCTGAACGGATCTTTTCCCATCGTGGTTAAGCAATGCCACAAACCATCCCCCAAATCACCATAAATAGGTGGTATAAACCATTCCCAAATGGGTGGTTTATTGTTGTTTTGCCCACCTTGTTTGATGGGGGAATTGTGGACGTGCCGTTGGTGGTTCGATGTCTCCCTGCCTAGGTTTTTGTGGTCACTTTAGATTCACTTTGTTGTTAGCAGCTGGAAAGAAGAGCAAATAGAACCATGGGCAGCTATTGGTACGGAGCCTGGAATGAAGGTATATGAAGGTGATAGAATGAAAACATCAACGTGATGACAATAATCATTAGGAACAAAACATGTTTGACTTCTTTTGACATCATGTGGTAAACCCAATTATGAACCTTTCCTAACCACAAATGGTTTGTATAAACAATCGCAAAGGGTAGGTTCATTATTGATCTTTAATCAGCAATCAACTATACGTACTATAATCCTTATAAATACCATATTAAATGATCATATCATAGATATTAAATTCCCATTAAATATATATATATATACACGTCACATCATGATATTGTCTAATTAATGGCAATTTATGATGTAATAATATCTAATACTATAACATGAATGGTTGTATTATAATCATTTATGAGTCACATTATCTACCCATAGGATCCATGTATGCTATATATGGTAACATTTACCATCAATATACCCCAAATGTTAGCATATATACCATACATGGATCCTATGGGCTATATCTGTATATATATATATATGTATATATATATATTGTTTTTGTTAAGCGCCCGCACGTGTTCGCAACGCGTCCAACGCGTTTGTCCGCAACGCGGAGGCGTTGGACTCCTTCATGGACCACCAGTGCCCAAAGTGCTCGGCATCTTTCTGTGCTGGCGCCCAGTGCCGAGGGTTTTTGTCGGTGCATTTGTTCATCGGATTTAATGGGGATTTAATGGAAATTCATGGGATTGAATGGGATTCAATCGAATTTAATGGAATTTGTTCAATCGAATTTAGTGGATTAATGGGATTTAATGGGATTTAATGGGATTTAATGGAATTGAATTTAGTGGATTAATGGGATTTAATGGGATTTTAAAGTATTGTATAATGGCATTTACTGGAGACTGGGGATTGAACGACCAAATGTGGCTTAATCAGGGTTGCTCCAATCTATTGTAGGCAAATGACAGCCACATGGGGAAAAATTAATTTGGCATCTTTACCTCTTTGACTAATTCTCCCCCCTTGCACCTGAGTTTGATTCGGCAGGACTCCTTTATCATATGGAGAAAATATGAGAAAATCCATCAAAGATATCGTCAGGCCTACCTCCATGGTTCTCTTTCGATCTCTTTGTTATCCCGTTGTATAACCATTCTGGTCTCTTTTCTTGGTGATTTCTCAATATTTCTCATCCAAAATGCCTGGGGGATACCCCGGTTCCTTTAAACATCAATCCCCATGATTTGAGGGACGCCGCCCAGGTGTGAAGTGTGTGGCCAGGTTTCCTCTCAACTGGTTTCGCTGCAAATGTGGTGACCAGGAGCCGATTCTGTGACTGGTTTCACTATGTTTCACTTACTGTATAGATGTATTGGAGTATGTAGTAATTATTGGATGATACATCATGATACGTCTAAAGATATATGACAACGTAATGTTATGTGAACTATATATATACACATATCACGAATACATTCCGTACATAGCGCATGTATAATTATAGTATAATTATGCTTGTACTTCCTGGGTTCAGGTCGAGCCGGTCGCGCCTTTCTCCGCAGGAAGCCAATCAGGCAGTGCTTCGTAAAAATCTGTGGATGATCAAAGCCTATCATACCACCTACCAGGCGCGGCCTGGGAAATCCATGGAAATCCCCGATTGAAACATGGGCATCTAAAAATACTGTGATTGAGAATCGGAACATCATTTTTTTAAAAAATAGTGCTGGATTTTGCATCCACCAGGACTGGGAAATCGACTTTTTCGGGAGACCCAACTTGCAGATCCAAGTCATCAATGTAATCTATCTGGATAGAAATTCTAGCGACCTGGCCTTGCCACATTCTCTGTATGTTAGTTACAATGTTTGTGTATACATATGCACATACATATACATATACATATCATTACATATCCATATATATATATATATTATGTGTATGTATATGTCAGTTATGTCTATATATATACACACATATACAGATACACCCACATAAGTATGCAGTGGAGTGTACCCATGTGAGGTAGAACCAAATATGGTATGGTTGGTAAAGTATCAAACTTCAAAGAGACCTGCCATCCAGCCCCTGCCGGAACCACAAAGGCCAGTTCGGCCTTTCTGCAGGCGTTCAATTCCTTGGGGGCCTCATTGTCCTCGCTATCGTCATGGATGCCTTGTAAAAACCAAGAGACTGCGCAGGTGCAAAGGGTCAGGGGCGTCCTGAACGCTTTGGTGGAAACAGACATGATCCATGGAAAGGTGCCTACCATGGAAAACGACCAGATTCACCAAGATTCCATTGTTTTGTTGGCAGCTGATGACTATATAGACTGTCATTGAATTGTACATATATATATATATGTATAAAAAGCACCCCCCAGAACTCAAGGTTTAGTATGGAATTTTCCCATATTTGGCATACTCCAGTTGAGGTTTTAAATCTTAGGTGCATGGGATTCTTCCCCAAGTTCCATGGAGAATTCTGGCCGCTTTTGCCCATCATTTGCCGTGCCAGTCTCTGAAAGACTCCACCATCACGCAGCTTCATGGAGGCCACAGCCGATGATGTTTGGTTTGTGGCAAATGAGACAAATTGACATCATGGTGCATCGATACAAATTGTTCGGTACGTCTAGGGTATACCCACCATTAAAACATCAACAATGTGATTCACATCTATCTAGTCTATATATTGCTGTGTCAAATGTGTGGGTGTTTTCCTTTGCCACGTGATGAATTGCTAGCGACAATCAAGAAGGAGCAGGCATGAACAGAATACGAAAGAGGCAAAAACACAAGCAGGCTAGTAGCCTAGCAAAATCGATAAATCAGAAGCCGGACTTTAGGCAAGAAAAGCGATTGAATATCTAATGATGTCAAACCATCAGCAAACAAAATACTGTAACCAAGTGCAGCCACAACATTCTAAGTCAGTCATGCGGGCAGTGTTCAAAACCCCTGCTGGTTGATGATCATCGGCGGTTAGACTACCCAATATATATTGGGGATTATCATAATCCACAAGAGCTACTATGGGAATCTATATCAACCAACAAGATCCAACAAGTATAATGCGTGGAATCCACCATTCTCGCATACGTTAGAAACATGGATTCGTGAAATCCAAAGTTTCACGTCAAGCGAGGTCAGATGCCTCCAGATATGGTGGTGCCAGGAGACAGGAGAATCATGGCAGCTGCTTAGTTGTTCGAAGCTTGCAGAAAACATGTAATGTGGCAGAGCATGGTAGAGCCAATAATAAACTATAGACATGTATAGACCTAATTTCACCAGGAATGGTTGGTATAGACCCTCCAAATTGGAGGTCTACTAATATCATGATTATTGTGGGGTTAACCGGTTTCCAGTACCTTCTTTCTATGACGAGATCCCCCGTAAATCCAAGCAGCTTCCATGGTGCAGGACCCGCCTTCCCATATCCTTCGCGGGTCAGGATGAGGTGGGCTGCATCTAAATGAAGTGTTTGTTCCAAGAAACCATGGATTTCTTTGACTCTTTGAGGAATCATAATCCGGGGAAAAAAAAAACTGAGTTTCCCCCAATAATGTGAGTCGAAACCATAAACCATCATAAACTCAAGGTGTCCTTAGTGTCCTTTGTCAATGTTCCCTTCAATCCCTTGAAAGAAACCGGGCTGGTTTGGTTGGCGAGGTCCAGATACCAATGCCAAAGCGAAAGAAGGCCTACCGGCCAGGCCGCAGGGGAGCCATGGTCAAATGGGATATTGAAGGAGATATATCATTATTCAATGGATTGGTTTAAGGGAAAATCTACAGGAAACCATAGATTTTCCCATTAAATATGGGGGTTTCCTGTAAATTTTCCCTTAAACCAGCATTTGAAAGTATATACTGATATACACTGGGATACAGATAATGAAAATTAATGAAAATTATATATATACACATACAATTAATATGATTATACATAATTATTATATATAACCAACATGAACCAACTAGTTCATCAAAGGATTTTCAGAGGTGATTCCAAAATCATCTTAATTTTTCTATATGATCCATGTTGATCTTACACCTTGAATCTCTTTGAGTCAGGTCGAAGTTTGCAAGGTGTGTAGGCTGTGTAGGTGTCTTTTTTCCCGATGCCCCGCATTCGCTGGAAGAGCAATCCAATCAAAGAGTTATTGCTAGAAGGCAGAACCCAAACTTGATCATTCTGTGCAGCAGATTTGGCCAATCACAATTCTTCGCGCAGCCTGAGTGCTGAAATTGTTGTCGTGCATTCAAATGCAAAGCAACTTGCAAGAGTGCGCACTTACAAACCTCAGTGCTGGAATTGCCGGAGTGGATTAGAGCCAGAGCATATGTTAAATGTTTATTTGGACACGGCCCAAAGTAACCCATCATCCAGTCTTTGGGCGAAGGATCGTAGAAACGAACCAAGGGACCCGGTCAGAGGTCAGTCAGCAGCTTGGACTGCTTGTTTTTTCATTGTTGTTGGACATGTCCAGAGCCAAGACATTTCAGGATTGGAGATAGTCTCCTGTCTGGGATGTTGAATGCAGAAAACTTGGGCGTCTTGGTGCACAGTTCTGCAGATCATATTTGAAACACTTAGAACAGTTCAAACAAAACATATCCTCAACAAAACATATCCTCATGGGGATATAATAACATATCTGGTGGTTATATTCCCATTATATCCCCATATTGGTTGATCTTGCAGTCACCGATGTCAGGCAACATGCCTCTGCCGCCACCTCCACCTCCGCCGCCACATGGACCGCTGGTGCCTTAGAGGTTGACCGCTGGATATTCTGAAAGTTACATCACAAAGTCACAAAGAAGTGTATACCAATGTATACCATATTGTACACTGTACCTAATCTAATATCATGTAAATAATATGTATACATATATATATATTATAATATAATACATTCATGTATATAGCTCTCTCTATATATATATATACACCATATACGTGTATATGATATATATATATATACACACATGATACTGGTACGGCAAGTTCACTATGCTGCCTCCTTTTCCGGGCGCCGTTTCAGGTCCGAGTTGCCCCACCTCTTGGGTCGCCATACGGCTGGGATTATCCCCATGAATTACTACGAGACGGATCCGTGAAGCTGCCTTGGCTTGGGACTGACTGAAGGACTAAAGAAATTGGAACACGAAGCCATGATACGAACGGATCGAACGGTTTTGTTGTATGTTAATGATTGTTCATGTGGTTGAAAGAAAAGCCAATATTATAAAACGAAGCTCTCAGTTGTTGGATTGTAAATGCATGTAAATGCGTTGATGTTGTCCTTTTTTCCCTGGATGTTTTCCATGATTTTCAGTGTTTGGATCCACTTTTGCTCAACATGTTCCCGCGGCCAGTTTCCAGACTCGCCTTCCCGGGGAGATGTCAGAGTGAGAGGGATCGGTGCGGCGGATTGGTGTGCGATTGCCAGCGAATGGTTGGTGGTTTCAAATCAACTACAATGATGTTTCATGTGAATTTATATATATATATATTGATTATAATATATATGTATATATATAATATGTATATATATATGTATATATATATATATATGTATATATATATGTATATATATATGTATATATATATATTGATTTATGACAACTACAATTGATGTATTTTGACATATGCTCTATATCCTACCTGGATTTTCTTGGGAATTGTAACTTGCCAATGTGCCTTAAAAATGATGGGTTGAAACCACCAGCCCAGTTATATCCTCGTTGTTTTTTCCGGTGAAGTTTCAAGTGCTGCACCCTCCAGTGGATGGTCCCAAAAAGGTGCTGGATCCCCCACGAAATGATGGTTTCTGGGAATGGAAGTACTGATAAAAACATATAAAAACCCAGTTTATCACGTATTTGATGGAGAAAATTATGATATAACATGATATAACATTATGAAACCACCAAAATGTGTGGGATACCCCTGTTTTGGACAAGGCCATTCCATAAAGGCTCTCGGAGCCGTGATTTGCCAGCAGCAGTTTCAGTCAATGACAATGCTTGAAACTCAAGCATGTCATCGCGAATGATCAGACAGCCACATGACACAGAGCTTCGGACTGAGACGCGTGCAATGTCGTGCGACTCGGAAAAGTGTGTTTTTCGGTTTTCAAGAGTCATGTTTCTTTAGTAGCAACTACTGTAGTTCGGCCAAGGAGTGACAGAGAATCATTGACTTTTTCAATGAAATTGACGAATTATACAGTGTAATCTCATCCTTCTAATATTAAGCACTCCCATTCTATGGTCCCAATGATGTGGAAATTTCCTACATCCACCACGGGGAGGCATGCGCAAGTCATGGAGAAGCGCGTGACCAGACACTTCAATGGAACCGAGGCCGGAGGTTGTCAGAGATGTGTACCCCAAAATGACCATGTTTTTTTATGGGGACATCACGGAGAGAGATACTATGGGGATGGGGATAATGTTCCTAAACTTGTGCCATGTTGAAGGGATCGATATTTGGTGCATACCTTTCCCAGCATCGCCATCATTTTCAAGATGTACATCCAATGTTGTTCATTGTTGTTCCATTTTAACAGGCATGTTACGGGGGATGTTTTGCAATCCAGTAAAGATACACAATTCAACTTTGAGAATCCAAGTTGGATTCCAATTTCATAAAAGGTCCATCATGTTTCATCCCAGGTCCCATTTTCCTTCTCCATGTTCTGCCTTGATCCAGGCCGCAAAGCTGAATGAGGATGCCATTCGAACGGAGGCCATCAGTCTGTTTCAGCCTTCTCCTGCAAATTCATTTGGGTTCCTGTTTCCTGTTTCCCTCAAACCACTCCAATGAATGAGGATATAGTATATGGATGTATATTATGGATATGGAGACAATACTATTACCCTTGCTGCAACTTTATCTGTGTTTGTTCCAATGAGATGGCCATCAAGATTTACCCATCGAAAATTCATGGCAGATATGGGTAATACTCATAGCATCTCATAGCCAATCATGACCTTTGAATACCTTTGATCTGTTTTCAATGTGGGGATGGTCGTCCCATGTCATCCCCCGGTAGCTCAAAGCCTCGAAGCTCGAAGCCTCTTTTTTTTGTGATCCCCGATCCCCAATGACAAGCAGATGTTTCAGGTGTCAAACATTATGACAGCGAAATACATATGATGCTAGTTACTAGTTATTTGGTGAGGGATGTGTTTGGATATGTTTGGTGAAGATAGTTAAGATCATCTTATTGGGTATTGTGGGGTTATCCTGGATATCCTGCGGACAAGAACCAGTCATCTTATTTCACAACAGCGGGGATTTGCATTTGTTGATTGGTTGCAACCACGCACTCCTGAGTTCGTTCGAATATCAGCGCATTTGGGTTGAAAATGGTGGATATCCCGAATATGGCAAGTGTAATGGGGAAAATATGGGAACATGATGATCGACCATAGGGGTTTGGGGTTTTTTTCTGTTTTCACGGCATTTTGTCAATTGCCTCACTGTGCTTGCCCTCTGGTAAACATAACTAGAAAAATAAAAGTGTTCCAATTGGTGAAAAATCTATAAATGATATGTATGTTTTCCATAACTACGTCAGTTTAATAGAGGGTATGTACGGTGGTTTTGTCTGTCAGACCTGCACTAACCAGCTTGACCAATCTGGCTTTCTTGCATGTTCTTGTGCTTTCTGTATGAATAGAAATTGTTCAGTTCAACATTTCTGTTCACGACCTGCAGCTCTCAATCTTCTCGTTTTACATGTTTTAATGAATGAAGTAGACAAGTGTCATAAAGTGTCCATAAAAGTGTCCACATTCATTATTTTAGCATCATTGTGCCTCCAGACAAATGGCCTTGTCTTTTTTCTTCGTCCAGTCTGATGCTGCAGCACCAGAGACTCCGGTCCTTCCGCCATGTTTACAGCGTGGGTGGTCACAATTTGAGCGTGGCATGGACGTTGCTAAAATAAACCATGGTTTCATCATGTTCTAAAGTTGGGTCAGCTTCCGATGATATCAAGAATGGCTTTGTCTATCTGGAAGCCAAAGATTCAGCAGTTTATCTCATCATGTTCACCATGAGATGGCCATGTTTAAATTCATCCATGCTCCAGCCATTCGTCAATCCAGGCGGAGACGAAGCGGATTGGCGAAGGTTGGCTTCGATGTCCGATGTTGTGAGCATGTGGGGTGAAATAGTATATTATATATATACACAATATTTGTGTATATATATATACATAATATTCATATATATATATATACATTATATATATATACATTATATATATATACACATAGTATTTGTATATATATATACATTATACATATATATATAATATTTGTATATATATATACATAATATTTGTATATATATATATATTATACATATATATATATATACATTATATATATACACATAATATTTGTATATATATATACACATTATACATCACTTTGGCTCACCCGGAAGGGCTGGAAGTGGTTTCGCACCTTTGAGCCAGTCATAAGTGCATGAGATGCCTGTGATTCTCAGAAGCCACCGAAGTTCAAAGAAGGGTATGTCATGAAACCAGGATGTATCCAGGTTGTTTTTCCTGAAACAATGTTCCGAGTGATCGAGTTCTACCATCAGCAAGTTGCCGAACCCCTGTTTACTTGACATTGCACAAGGTTTTGGCTTTGACCAGGGTCGCTGGAAGCACTACCCCCCAGCGCTCTGGTAGTGAAACCTTAGCGGGTGCGCATTGAGCCATCCGCGGGCCCGTGCTGCTTTGGGGTGCAGCGGCGGTGCCTTTCTTGTGCTCTTCACCACTGTGCAGGGTGAATCACCTTAGCTTAGAAAGTTCCACTACCTCGATCCTGCTCTACGTGACTGTGCTCCGCATTGCAGCTTTCGTTTCCTCTGGGTTTTCTCAGGGACCGGTTCCCGATACTCTGCCTTAAATCGGTTGGTGGATCTTCTTTGTATTACTACATCATTGTCTTTGACCATTTTGCGCTTCATCGTGCAATTTGTCATCGCTCTGATCAATTTGTTCATGCGTTTTGGGATCTTCCTCGCGGTGTTGCTCTTCCTTTCCTTCACCTTGGATCACAGGGAGCACGGCTTCGTCAACGCAGAGAAGGTTTCTACGTCGGAAACGCGCATCAGCCAGAAGACAGTGGTACCTGCATCGACGTGGCATCATTGTTCTTTCTGCTCAGAGGCTACATCAAATTTATCAGATTCTGCAATCCCATCCTTCGAAGGACGCAGGTTTCCTTTGTCGAATTGCAGCAACGATGGCCGACACCACCCCATGGAGATGTATAGGCTGCCGCCAGCTGAGGAAACATTCAGCAAGTCACTGCCATGTTTGTCAACAACCGTGGCAGGTTGCAATGGATCGCACCTATGTACATCAACAAGGAGGACAAAAGTCACAGGAGACCTATGCGCAGGGCTGGAACTACAACCAGAACTGGGAAGGCCAACAGAACTGGACTCGAGAGCGCTCACAGAGTCGCACTCACACTCCCAAGAAGGGCAGAAAGCCGAAAGGTGCAAAGACACCCCGGAACAATGCCCAAGGAGATGGAAAAGGAGCTCCGATGATGCCCTTTCCTGCTGCTCCAGGGTTTGGAAAAGGCCAGCCCTTGCCTCCACCTCCCATGCCGTGGCCTGGCTATGCGGGGATGAACCAGCCAATGATGATGCAACCTCCAATGCAGCCTATGCCTGAACCGATACCCCAACATCAGCCCCCGCCCCAAATGGCGCAGATGATGGCACCAGTGGCTCCGACTTTCTCGGCTCCCACTCCTCCTCAGGCGTCGATGAGTTCCGAACAGATGGAGTTCATCGAAATGGCTCGAGCTCCACAATCCGAGCTCCCAGCCGACGTGAGGCATCAGATGCAGAAGATGTCAAAAAAGGAGGGAGCTCGGGCTACGAAAGATCTACACAGTGCTGTCAAACAGCTTGGAATTGCAAGAGCAGAAGTGGAGGAGGCCATTCAAGCCCGTATCAACCTGATTGCTTCATGGAAGAACTTCCTCACGGAGGCGGTCAAGACGTGGCAAGATTATACAGTCCTGTTCCAGACTCAGGAGCGTGTCCTTCAAGCCAGAATTCAGGAAGCTCAGGAGAACTTTGCCCTGGCGAAGATCCAAGCAGCGGAATCTCAGGCTGTTGCGGGCAAGCTCACCATCGAGATCAAGGACGAGGACGACGATTTTGTGGAGGGACAGGAGACCACGGACCTGTCTGCTAGATCAACGAAGGCCTTGCTACGCTGTCTGCGTCCCTGCAACAGATGAAAGAGCAGGCAGATGCAATCGTGGTGGAGGAGAATGCGGCGAAGCGGCAGCGCACGGCGCATTCTCTTCAAGGAGATCAAGCCATGGAGGTCGGCGATTCAGCAGACTCCAAGGCATCTTCCAAGCCGCCTTTTGCCTCGCCCGGCTGTCCATGACGTTCTCGTATGACAGCTTAGGGCTTTGCCGCCACTGGAGCACTGAAACTCCAGGATTCATCATGAAGTGGCACAACAGGGCTTTACTCAAAGAAGAATTTGTCTCTGAATGGAAGTCCAAAGCCAATATTGACCTTCATCATCTGCAACGACATCACGTCTCTGAAGTGTTGCACGGATACCAGGTTCCAGCATGGCGGACTGACATCGAGCACCAAGTGAATGATTTCAACCATCAGCTTCTACAAGGTTTAGCTCGGACTTGTCCAATCAAGAAGCGAGAACCAAAGAAACCAGGCATTGACTCGCACATCTGGGATCTTCGTACTCAGAAATTGGTGGCCCGACGTGGACTACGAGAGATTGCACGAAGACGACGAAGAGAACTCCTTCGTTTTTGCCTGAGTTCCTGGAAGCAGCCTTCTTCGAATCTTTCATTGCGATTTTGGTAATATGATGGGTGGCTCATGTGTCTCAATGTCAAGACCTTCGGGCACTTTCAACGTTCTGCCCGGAGTCTCAAAAAAGGACTCAGGCAAGGCAAGTCGAGACATCTGCAACAAGCCTTTGACCAGTTGCATCCAGAGGCACCGGCATCGGCAATTCTGCATGAGCTCAAGAAAGTTGTGGGTCCAACAAATATGTGAGCCATCAAGCAACAGACATTGCCAATGATCCAGGATTACGAGGGCCACATTTGCAGCACTCCTCAGCAGGCCTTGGAAACCTGGATTCGCTTTTTCCAGGAGATGGAGGGTGGCCAGCGCATTGATGCCACCCATCAGCGAAGTCTCTGGATTGACAATTTGAAGTCCTTCCAAGCGACCTCACTTCATTTGGACATTGATGACATCCCATCCCTGGTTGAGCTCGAGATGGCCTATCGACATGTACATCCTCACAAAGCCACAGGTCCAGATCGTATTGATGCATCTTTGTGCGCAAAACATCCTGCCATGTTTGCGCGGAAGACCTACAGCCAACTACTCAAACTGTATGCACATGGACAAGAAAGCCTGCTGCACAAGGGAGGCAGACTCCAACCGATTTGGAAGCAGAAAGGACCCCGACACCTCTGCTCTGCATATCGTAGTGTATTGATCTCATCACACGTGGGGAAGTCACTGCATCGATGCATACGTTTGCACACGGCTGACACCTTCGAGCACTACTTGCAGTCCCAGCAGATTGGAGGCAAAAGAGGGGTTCCGGTCTCTCTTGGAGTACATCAAGCGAGAGCCTTCATGAGATCCAGATCGCGCCGTGGGCTTTGCACTGGACTGCTCTTTCTCGACCTCTCTGAAGCATTTTACAGAGTCGTCAGACAGTTAGCCCTCGGCGGACCTCCTGATGATCATGCAATCGCTGCCATAGGGGCACGCCTTCAATTAGGCCCCGGGCGCTCGCAGGATTTGCATTCTCACCTGGATGAACCTTCTGCGATCGAGAGAGCGGGCCTTTCACCACAACTACAAGTTTTGCGCGCCCTACAGACACTCACTTTTATGTGGGTCTTCAATCAGACTCCTGCAGGACGACCTTGGGCACCAGGCCTGGCGACTGTTTCGCAGACATTGTCTTCTCGTTTCTTTGGGCTCGATTGCTCCAAAGACTGGAACAGACTCTGCAACAAGCTGGCATCCTGGATGTCGTCCCAGAAGAATGGGGGTTGCAGGTTGACGACTTTGAAAGCATCCAGAGACCGCAGGAGAAGCTTTGTAAGCCCTACCTTGGCCCAACCTGGATGGATGACACATGTATTACATTCTCTGCCTCCACGGTTGCCAATCTGGAACTTGCAGCGGGCCGTATTGGCAGCGAGCTTCTCAGCATGTGTGATGAATTTGCAATGTCGCCAAACCTTGCGAAAGGCAAGACAGAGCTCCTGCTTATCTTCCAAGGACAAGGGGCCAGCAAGGCCAAGAAGAAGCACTTTGGTCCGAATTCTCCTGGGACCTTTCCTATCGTCACGGAGGCTGGCCCACGGTTTTTGAACATTGTGAGCTCGTATGCCCATTTGGGTTGCACCCTACATCATCGAGGTGATCTACGCAAAGAGATGCGTCGTCGGCTTGGAATAGCCCCATGCAGCGTTCACGAAACATCGACGCCTCCTCTTTCAGAACAAAGGACTGACTCTGATCCGGCGGAGGGAACTCTTCAGGACTTTGATTCTCAGCAAACTGCTCTACGGAGCAGAATCGTGGACACTTCGGGACCAACGTGACAGACATTACCTACACAGCGCTCTTCTGCGGCTCTATGGTCGACTTCTACCACATCAAGGTCGGGCTCCGCGCAGCGATGACGAGATCCTTGTGCTGACTGGACTACCTGACCCAACCACCCTTCTTCGCCTTTGTCGCCTTCGCCATCTAGGACTTCTCTACAAGTGCAAGGACACAGCTTGCTGGGGCCTGCTGAATTCAGACCTTGACTGGATTCAACTGATCAGAGATGACTTGCTCTGGATGCACAGGCAACTGATGAACACCTCGACCCTCCCCAATCCACAACAAGACCTCCAACAATGGGAGTACCTCACGCAGTACCACCCCAATTATTGGAAGCGCTTGATCAGACGCGCTGGAGATCACGATGCTGGTCAGAGGCACAACACTCGCATTGTGACACAGTTCCACCGAGAGGTCCTCCAGATCTTACATGATGCAGGGCGACTTCATGGTGAACCACCGCAAGCAGAACTTAGAGCCTCCATACAAGTCCATGCTTGTATGCAATGTGAACGCCAATTTGCCAGCAAAGGAGGATGTGGCGCTCATCTTTTCAAAGTCCATGGCAAGGTGAATCCAGTCAGACAACTCTTTGCCCAAACGCGCTGTGGAGTGTGCCTGAAAGAGTACCACACCTTCTCGAAACTCAAAGCGCATTTGATCTCTTCTGCCAGATGTCGGCATACGCTGCAAGGCAGGAGACTCAGGTGGACACCTGCACCTGGCACAGGCTCCACCATCGAGGGCGAGCTCAATGCCGTGCATGATGGACTTCTTCCCCCTCTTCAAGCACAAGGTCCCATGGTTGAAGCGGGCCCCTTGGGCGCAGACGTGGACTATGACCTGGACATTATCGAAGAGCTCTACATGGACCTTTTGGAGCTCGATTCGATGGAGGAGTGTGAGAAAGCAGTTCGAGATGTTGCCAAGCGCCATGCTGTTTCTTGGGCAACCTTCTAGACAAGCCTTTCTCAATTTCTGGAAATGTTCAGTGATGAGGATGCGCAAGTGCTTAGAGTTCCTGGTGGAGAAGTGAGACGTCTGCTGCAGGCGTTGCAAGAGCCCTCAGCTTGGACGTTTCTTTGTCAGTCTTCCACGACACACCATTCGGTATGGCATCGCCCCATTGCGCAATTGGAACAATTCTGCGTTGCCGAGTTGGAGAGGCCTATGGAGGAGCCTAGGCCTCTTGTGCCCAGACCACTCGGCCGGGAAAGATACATACTACATTTGTTTGCTGGCAGACGAAGGCGAGGGGATTTTCAATTCTATGTGGACTCGCTGCAACACCTACATGGAGGCATGCAGATCTACGTCCTCTCCGTCGACATCGTCATCGACGACAAGTGGGGCGACTTGGCCAATGAAGAGACGCGCCAATTTTGGATTAGAGCGATCTTTGACCGGCACATTGTCGCCTTGATTGGAGGTCCTCCTTGCGAAACGTGGTCGAGGGCGCGAGGCAAGCCCTTCAAGTCTCTTGCCGCCAATCGGCGTCAGGGACCGAGAGTTATCAGAACACTGCAGGAGATCTGGGGCATGAGTTCACTCTCCCTGAGAGAATTGGCATGAATTGGCCCAAATCAAGATCGGCAACCTCCTGATGGGATTTCAGCTCATTGCCATGGCTGCACTTTCCTGCGCCGGAGGAGTTGCGGTTCTGGAACACCCTGCAACCCCGCCGGAAGAAGAGGCAGCCTCGATTTGGAGGACACCGATCATGCAGCTCTTGCTACAACTGCCAGACTTTACGCAGATCACATTGGCACAAGGGCTTTGGGGAGCGCACGCAATCCGCAAAACCCACGACCTTTGCGATTCTCAATGCGCCGAACTTCTACGAGGATCTCCATGAGGGCATGATCACCAAGGACCTCCCCAAAGGCATGTCCATTGGCCGTGATGAGGCGGGCCACTGGGCCACCGCCAAATTAAAAGAGTACCCGCCAGGGCTCTGCTTAGCTCTGGCAAGAGGTATTCTCCAGGCTATTAGCCAACTTGCCCCGGACGATACCGACGAGGCCCGGGTCTCCTCACAATTTCGGGAGCTATGCTCGCCACTTATTTGCACAGAATTTGGCAGTGCATATGGCCCCGACTTTGCAAGTGGAGTGCTTTTGTGATTTAGGGTCAAAGCACCCATCGAATTGAGACATGCTATGGCCGCAGCGGATTTCGCTTCTTTGTGCCCCAGCCAAAAAATATACATTATATATATATATACATATTTGTATGTATATATATATACATTATACATATATATATATATATATATACATTATACATATATATATACATTATATATATATATACATTATATATATATACATACTGAATATAGATGGACCCCAGAATAACATTGGGAAAAGCCGTGGGAAACATCTGGAATTTTATCTGCGATGTTTTTGTGACCCTTGGCACAGCTTCCAACAGACGCAGGTTTTTGGTGCCATGTTCCGGAGCATGACCTTCAAGCCGCTTCGAAAGCAGCGGCTGAAGTATTTTTCGGCAGCTATATCAAGGGGAACTGGGTGAATTTGTTTTTGATTTTGATTGCAGCAAATGTGTTGTTTTGCCAGGTTGGCAATTTTGATGGAAAAAAATGGCATCTATCACTTGTCCAGAACTCTACAAATTGGCAGTTTCCAAAAACATCTCAAAGTTTAGATAAGTTAAACCATCCGAATTGCCAAGTCACCCAAGTCGTGCTCCATTTTTTGAGTTGCCATGAACCAAGGCTCGGGTCTTGTCAGTGCGCGGCGGTGTTGCTGAACTGGAAATCGGCCGACTGGACTCAGCTGAGAGCGTTGTGTATTGTCTTGGGCAATGGAGGATCACAAAGGCATACATATTATGTGAGATATATATATATATACATATGTATACGTATGCAGTATGTGTATGTGCAAATGTATACAGTATCTATATGTATGTTTATATCCTGTGGATGTGGTGGGGGGTGGGCGGGGTGGGTGGCGGTGGTGGTGGGTGGGGAGTAATTCCCCATATCTTATGGGGTGAGGGGGGGGGCTGTGAACACGAGACCCGGGACCATGTATATATACGTATATATATATATATAATTTTATATATGTAACGATACACTATACAATAATTATGGAACGGTTTTACTGCATCTTCACTATATTGTTTTGTTTGGCAGAATTTGCAAGTTGTCGCAAGTTGTCATGTGACCTCTCATGGAAGATAAAGCTATCTTTTATGATGCCAACCCACCAGTTCACAGTGTTTACAATTCCACTGGACTTTGGGCCTTTTCAGAATTTCAGTCTTTCAATTTTGAGGTGGTGCGTCCACTGAAAAAAAATTTGAGGCCAGCAGAGGTTTGCCTTTATTTATTCGCGTAACATGGAGGAAGAAAGGGATTTCTCCCTGCGAATATAGAGAAAGAGAGAAAGATACTGGCTCACTGAGAGTAGCCAGGCTGAATTTAGCAGTGCAAGGCACTCCTTTTTCTTCTGTGGTACTCTGATTGATGTGTTGTTTTTTGTTCAGCAAAATCTCGGAAAAGACCTTTGATGTTTGTTGCTCCTCTGTGTTCTTGGTCAGTTGCTGCGCGCTCCAAAAGACAACAAAGAGTGAGGTGCCCAGAGTCCAGAGGCGGTGAATCTTGAGCAATTAAGATGTGCAACTCATCCATGTAGACTTGGTTTATCAGATATTATCAGAGTACAACGGAAAAAACCATGAAGTGTTGTGGCATCATCCACCATTCAGATCCATAAAGAGAATCTTTTTTCCATGGCACCGGCACCTAGGATGGCTTGGCCCAAGGGTACACAGGTGATGTACCACAGTTGGGGATCCAAGGCTTCATTGGCATCCCCTCTCCAAGTACATCAAGGCATATATTGGCCTTGGTTGATACAAACAAATGCTGATAATAATCATTCTGTTACTAACAATTGATAGCAATATATAGCAATGATGATTAGTGATATATCATTATATGACTAAGAATATATCGTCTGGTTGTTATAGTTAAAGATTACCTTAGATAGCAATGTTTGTTCATTACTGATAAGTTCAACATCTACTCATCCTTCGTCTATTTCCCATGCCTCCCATCCGGGAACTAGGTGTCACTGGAGGAGGTCGATGGATCGAAGCTCACATTGACTTTTGGCGGCAGATCCACTGGATGATCTATGAGTATATACCCTCTGGTAATTTAACATAGCTATTGAAAATGGCCATTTATAGTGGATTTTCCCATTAAAAATGGTGATGTTCCATTGCTATGTTAGTTTACCAGAGGGTAATGGATGCTCTGCCATGATAGATGAGTATGATATGAGAGATTAAATAGTGCACAAAATTGGAACAAATAGCGCCGGTGACTAAAAAAGCATCTCACACCACACCAAATATCATTTTGAGGTGGAAGGCATGCCACCTACCTGACAGTGATGATCCGTGAGAATCCACTGTTGAACACAGTAATCTGAGTCACTTCCGAATTTTTCAGCAGATTCATCAACAGAATCAGCTGTTTCCCAGGAGCAGTTCAATCCGCACAATGGCACATACAACTTGGACGTGCGGCCCGAAGCCGATGCTGATAAGGTGCTGGAGGGAGAAGATGATAGAAAAGTCCAAACCCACCCTGGTTCAGTAGTAGCACCCTGGTCCAGTCAAAGGATGTCAGTCAAGATATCACTGAAATTTAAAGACAGCTGACTGCTGACTCTTTTAGGTGTCATTACTCATCTCTTTTCCATTCTTTTTCACCTGAAGCCCTTTCATGTTTTTTTTCCCTTGATTTGATTTTGGCTACAATTAGATGATATTAGATGGAAATCCTCAATATCATAGATGATATTAGATGATATTAGATCATATTAGATGATATTTTGGCTACAATTAGATGATATTATTCTTGATTTGAAGATATTTGCGGCTCCTCAAAAGACCGGGTCGTCCCCTTTTGCGTTGTCCCGTCATGTCCCGTCGTCCTGAAGAGCTGCAGGTGCGGCCTCGATAGTTCCGGTGTTCCGACCAGGCCATCGTCAAGTTCCATTCTTGATTTGTCTATAAAAGGGGATGGTCATCAATCCCTTTTATAGGGTTTGAAATGGTATAATATATATATATATATATGTATATATATATATACGTAATAATGTTTTTTAATGGCCATAATGTTTGGATTCTCATTATGGAATGGATGAGCATGCCACAGAGCCCCCACTTGTTGACGGTGGCACATATGAGTGTCCAGTCAATAGCTGCAAGGAACCACGATCATCATGGGCTTCAGGACTAGAGTTGATTTTCGCTGGTAAGTTTGGAGGCAGTTGCGATATATTTATACATGTTTATACTTGTTTCTACAAGTATCTTTTTTCCTGACATTGCCATTCTAGCAAATTGCGTGTATGAGGGAGATCATCAAGTGCCAGCAGCGCTGGCCGCTTGTTTGCACCAGCAAGTTTGCACAAAATAGATCTCCAAACCCAAGCCATATTAAATATTATGCAACACCGGACTGTCAATTGCATTGTTTTAATATCGTTCAATTCTTCTTCTGCTTCAGAGATTGCCAACAATGCTGGAGATGTTCAAGAAAAGAGCATCTTGAATCTTCAAGAAACAAATAGATCCCGAGCCTCAAATTTGACCTACAGCCACGTTCAAAAGCGGCTCCAGGGTCAGCAGCTGCTTTACGCCGGGTCTCGAGAATTCGATGGTCGGCGCTGGTGATGTGCCTAGGAGCTGAAAGTGGTAGGATGCTTGGTATCCTGTTTGGAAGGTATATGTTATATAGTATATACCAGATCGTTCTTTGTGGACTCTATTAGAGGGCACTTAGACAAAAAAAAAAACATTCCACTTATGGACTCTTGCTGGGCTAAGTGGCCTCTTTGATATTTCTCTAAGTGGCCTCTTTGGGGGTATGATGATGGTAGATGATGGTATGATAGGGCTCCGATACAGGCACCGCACAGGATATCGCTTCTGCCACAGCACCTTGGGGCTCAGATGCAGGTGCTGATGTCATGGGTCATGGATCAACTCAACCCAGGTGGTATTTGGAATAAAAAGAACAACTGCAGGATAAGGGTCAAAGGTCATATCACGTGGATTTTTAAAAAAAAACAAACTGATTTTTGGGTTGTTGGCGCAAGTTGGCGCTGGCCATGGCAGCGGTGAAAGATATCGATGACGATATCAAGATCAAGAACCTATCCCATGCTGGGAAGTATCTTGATTCAAACTATTTCATTTTGCTGTGTGATGTTGGATATTCATATTATATAGATCGAAAGGTTTAACAACATACGACGTATATTGGACACTTAGGACACTGTAATGGCAACATATAATAATCTATATTATGGCACCACAGTTCTGTCCTCCTGTCTCAGGACCCTACGGAAATGTATGGTAGAGGTAATGGATCCTGACCTGATCCGGGAGGAGTGTCAAATGATCCCGGGCGGCGACATCCGGCAGAGAGGCAATGGGTGGATTCGCGATGCTTGGGGAAAAGCAGGCATCCAGAGGATCCCCAGAGAACATGAGTTTGCAAAAATTATTGCAAACCTAGTTCACCACTACAAACTGTGTGCCCAAGCTGTATTTGTTTGGTTCGTTCCTTTGGGTTTTCACCAACACAATATATCATTTTTTGCTGGAGTCACACTGAATTCAGGAAAAAAAACGCACAGAATGTTCTGGGATCCACAATTGAATTATTAAAATATTAACAACTAAGGTCCTGGAATGGATGAGAAGGAGCGTAAGGATTGGATTATAGTCCAAGCACCTTGACCAATCATATTTCTAAGCTGTTAGTCTTGGAGCAAGTGATATTCATTTTCCGGACTTAGGCAGCTAGATGCCACAGAGTGGTGAAGAGACACAAGAAGTTGGGCTATCGGTCGTCGGATTCAAAGTCATCAATTTCCAGCACAAAGGGTTCAGGGAGCCTGGTCTTATTTACGCTGAGCTGTGGGCTGTGGGTGTGTTTCATATCATGTATACTGAGTAGGTCATGGTTTCAATGTAATTTTATCAAATCGTCAGCCCAGGTCTGCAATCGATATGGCTGATACATTACCCATGCCCGAGCTCTCCAATGATGATATGATTCTTGTTA